TCATGTGACACCTAAATGGCCGGGAGTTATCTGTCAGACAGGGAGGAATTCACGTGCTTTGAGAGGTGGATGCCCCATCTCATCTCTTGGGCAGAATTGGATGGTCAGAGAGCAGATGCTTTCTGGAACACCCCCAGCTCTGCTGGGGCATGGAGGATGGGGAAGGAGACCACCCAAGCCCTGCTCTTGGGTCCAGTCTCACCCCCAGTTCCATGAAGGGACAGTGCAGGTAGGGGTGAGAATTGGGTCTGGAGGCTGGGGTTCCTGGCCTCCACTGTGGGTACAGCTGTGGGGGAGGGGGTCAGGAGGCTGGAGGGTGCTTGGCAGGAGGGAGAGTGTTCATGCAGGGTCAGTGAGCTTGTCTGGAGTTGGGGAAGGGGGTGGTGAGTTCTGTGCAGGGTGACCAGTAGATAGCCTTGAGGACTGGGCCGAGGAGTATAGGGGGGCATTCTGTCTCCTTTTTCGTCCCTGTACTCTGGGCCTGGGTCCCTCTGCTGCTGCCCCAGGCTCAGCGGGGTTGTCTGCCTCACAGAAAGGATGACTTGGCTGTAGAGCCAAATCCCCCTTTGGCCTGTGCCTCCCTGGCCCTTGCCTCCTGGGCAGTAGAGGGGCCAGGCCCTGTCTGTCTAGCCAAGAGCCAGGACCAGCAGGTCCTAGATCAGGGTATCAGGGGAGGGATGGTAGTGAGTGCTTGTTGAAGGGCAGAGCTGGGAGGTGGCAGAGGGACTCTGGGAAGGGGTGTTCTCTTATTTTTCACCACCTCTCTCCAGGACTTTGTTCTGTCTTCCCACCCTCCCTCAGTGCTTGCTCCCTGCCTCAATTCATGAAAGCCTGAGCCATTCTGGAAAATTCACCCATGGTGTTGGTGAGCTAATGGTGTCTGGATGGTCATGGCCAGCCTGCTGAGTCCCTTCCCACTTCAAACTCCAGGTCCTGGTAGACCTCCTGGAGGGAATGAAATCATTATTTCCTGCAACCTGACCTGTGGGTGGGAAATCCTTGCCCTGCCCAGAAGGGACGGTCCAGTCCCCTCAGCCCCTCTGCCGTATGCTCCACAGAAGCCTCTAGCTAATGAAGGGACGGTCTTGGCCACACCTGTGGGTGTCTTCTCCTAACATAGCGTGAGGTCCAGATCCTTAGCCAACATCTGAGGCTCTGTGCACCCACTCCTGGACAAAGCCTGAGATTCTACACTGGATGCCAGTGGGGATGGAGCCCAGATTGTACTGGGAACAGCCAGCATTGACTGGAAGGCATGTCTCCCTGGGCACGTCAGGAATAAGGCACATCTGGAAAAGCACTTGCGGAGACCGTTGCCCCAGCAGGACCAGATGGTGTGCCCTAGCCTGAGTGCCCCAAGCCCTGCCCAGGGCTCAGGAGCTGGGAGGACCACAGCCCCCCTCCTCCCGCGAGTAGCCTGGCTCAGGCCTGTGGGCTCTGGAGACGGAGCCTGTGCTACTGCCTGTGGGAGGGACATGGGGCGGCAGAATCCGGCCCCCACTGAAGGAGGAGCTGGGTGAAGGCAGCCTTCTGCCTCAGAGCCCTAGCTCCCAGGGCTGGTGGGTCTGTAGGGGGCGCTCTGGCCTTTCCCAGCTTCTCTGCGTGCCCTTTCTTAGCCTGCTGCTTCCTTCCTCACCCACCCTATTATGCAGGGAAGCTGAAGATGTTCTCACTCCCACCCCTCGTTGTCCATCCTGGCACCTGGATCCCCCAGCCCTTGTCCTGGGCCAGCAGAACTGGAGTTTCCCTCTGGTAACCAGGTCCATCAGGGGTGCTTCCTGACAGGCATGCAGAGAACCAGACTGGGGCTCTGGGAATTAGGGGGTCCTGAATTATAATCCCAGCTTTGCTGTTTCTTGGCAAACCAGCCACCATCTGAACCTCCCAGGGCTGTGGTGAAGATGGGCCTTCAACCAGAGGCTGTTTTCTTCCTTCTTTCCCTGATTAGCCCAGATTTGTGGCAGACCAGGGAGAAGGAGGTGGAGGGGTTTGGGCCTTTCTGGGTCTGAGGCTTCAGCGACTGACCTTTCCCCTTCCACATTGGAATGGTCAGATCATGGCTGCAGAGGCCCCTTTGCATTTTGGGAAATGACAGGTGCACAAGCTTGCATTACTCTGGAGAGGCTGGCATTCTGATGGCGCCTCCTGGTGTCTCACAAAGGGATGGAGCTATAATGGCGGCATTTAAGGCAGTGAGGCCAAGCTGACTTGGGGGTAGGGGGCAGGAGGTGCAGCAGGTGGTGGGGGTTTGCCCTAAGGACCCTCGTATTATTGTGAAATGGGCGAATGCCTAATTTGCCTGAGCAAAAGTGCTTTCCTATGCTGTGGCTGTGGGTCCCCCATCTCCTGCCTTGCTCCAGAAGGGCATGGGCCTCTGGCAAGTACACATGCACACACAGGTGCCCTCTATAATCCCATGGCCCATCCTGCAGAGCGCCCACACAGCCTGCAGGCTCAGGCGCTGGCCAGCAGACTGCAGGGGCGCAAGGAGCTGGGCTGTCTGCTTGGTAGCTATCTCCCCAGTGCCCACAGTGTTTGGCACGTGACACGTGTAAGTGAATATTGTTTGGATAAGTTAGTACATCCCAGGTGACTCTTGTTCTCATGCGTAGTAGTACGTGAGGTGTCCTCAGCTGCATGGATCCTGACCTGGTGTGTGGACACTGTCACGGAAACTGAGGACATGCAGGCTCCCTTTCCTGTCTCTGTGGTCCTGCGTCCCACACCAGCCTGAGTCCAATGGCTCTTGTGGCCTGCTGCCTGTCTCCCCCTCAGCCTTCCTCAAGCCTTCCTAGTGGCGTCCCAGTGTCTGTCAGCATCAGAACTCGTGCTTGCACCCAGCAGAGGGCAGGAACAGGTGTGGGCCCTGTTGGAGCCAGGAAGCCCAGGGGGATGAAGAGGATGACATGTTTTTCCCACAGTGGACATGGAGCCTGTGGCCTGAAGGGAAATGGTCCTGCTCCAGAAAACCCTGCTTTGAGGTGCCCCCCAGGCTGCCCTCAGAGCCTGGTCAAGGGGGGAGCAGGGCCAGCCTCTGAAGCCTCCATGTGAGGGAATCCCAGCCATCTGGAGGGAGCTTTGTTTGGGGCCCTGGAACTGACCAGAGAACCCCTCACCATGGGGCATTGCCACCAGGCCACTGGGGCATGGAGCCTCCTGGGGCATGGAGAACTGAGTCAGGGCTGCCCAGAGGAGAGGATGTGGAGGTTTCAGAAAGTGGCGCAGTGGGGCCAGCTCCCTCTCCTGGATGGTTAAAGACAATGATGACCTCCAGCAGCCCGGGCTCTCCGAGCAGGCAGGGCCCGCTGGCCACCCTGCTGACTCCCTGCCTCTTGCCCACTCTGTACTCATAGGCACTTAGGTACACTGTGGTGGACACAGCTGCACCCTCAGCCCCACCGCCAGCGGGCCTCCTGCTCCCAGCAAACACTGGGCTGATCCCTGGGCGGTTCGTTGCTGTAGCCAGTAGGGGCTGGTGTCATCTTCAGCAGATGGCCCCTGGACAGGACATACAAGGCCTGCATGCTGCTCCCCACCCTGTCCCTGGAACATGCAGGACTCAGAGAAGGCCTGCCCTTCACTGGGCCTCAGTTTCCCACCTGTAAAATGGGAGAAGTCAACACTCCTGTGTGGGACTGTGGTGGGGTAGCAGGAGGAGGGAGAAGGCCCGAGAGGGCCTGACCAGGGTGCTGTCTGTCTGCTCATTCCATTCCACTAAATGCCTCAGGCTGGCAGACTGGCCTGGGGTGCCCTTGTGGCCTTCTGGACTGACTCCAGCTTTTTGAACAGCTCATTGGCTGCCTCTGGGTCTCACTTGGGGATGCACAGGGCACGGGAGGATCTTGAGGTGCTTCCCCTCCCGCTGCTGGGGGCTCTTTCTGTCTCTCCCTCCTCTTACCCTCTCCTCATCTGTCTTTTTCTTCCTGCTTCTTGCCTGTGGGTCAGGTCTCCTCTCTTTCCACTTCATCTCTCCACCCTCTTCGCTTCCTCCGTGTGTCAGTCACTGCTGTCTTCACCTGGAATCACTCATTCACTTCTGCTTTTAGCCAGTCCTACTTCCCTTTTATCCTTTCCTTCATCCTCTCTGTCTCTCCTCCTCTGCCTGTCTGTCTGTCTCGTCTTCCCTTCTTGGTCTGTCCCTCTGCTTCTGCTTTTGCCCCTCCCCTCTCCTTTTTCTTGCCCGGGCCTTCCAGTCTCCAGGTTAGGCTGCCATACCTTCTACCTCCCTAGGAGTCTGCCAGCTTTGCTGCCTTTAAGAGGAAAGTCCTAAACTGCCCTCACCTGCCTCAAAGCTTCTGCTTCAGAAACGGGGGCCCCTGGAGTGGGGGCTTCCCACCTCCTTCCCTATCTGAGGCCTGCCTTTGGCCACAGAGTGGAGGTGGGTCCAAGAACGTGCTCTCCATGCCCCCTTTGAGCTCTGGCCAATGGGTCTGGGGGCTCTATAACATCCCTAAAGTGACATCAGCGGCCTGGGCTGGGGTGTGGAGGGCCCAGACTGCCTCTTGGGACCCCTGGACTCTTAGACTCTAGACTGATGCTGCTCTGCGATGGGCTGGGGATGCCAGGCCAGTAGGGTCAGGGTGTCTGCCTCCAGGGAAGGCAGCGTCCACCCTCTGGGTCCAACCTGCTCACTCTACCCCATCTGGAGCCCCTGGCTCTGCCCCTGGGCACCCCCTGAGCTTTGCACACAGGGCGAGGACACCTGGATTTCTCTGGCCCCCTGAGTGGGGCCAACTTGGAGGAATTTCCCAAAGCCTATTAGAGCAGTGGCTGCCTCCCGCCTGCCTCCTCAGGCTGGGCAGGGCTGAGGGCGGAGGGAGAGAGGGAGGGAGGGGGAGAGGAAGAAGGGAAAAAAAATTGGCATGTGGACAGCAGAGCCGAGTCTGCATCCCTTGCTGAGAGGAGGCCCGTGCAGTGTGGGGCGGGCCAGAGCGAGGAGAGGCCTTCCTCCCTTTGTGCTCCCCCCTCCTCTCCTCCCCCTGGGCCCTATAAATAGGCCCTGCCTGGGCTGTGGCTCAGCTCTTGGAGGGAGCTGAGCACCAGGCAGCGGTCTCAAGTCAAGCCCCCTGCCAGCATGGCCAGCGAGTTCAAGAAGAAGCTCTTCTGGAGGGCAGTGGTGGCCGAGTTCCTGGCCATGACCCTCTTTGTCTTCATCAGCATCGGTTCTGCCCTGGGCTTCCATTACCCGCTAAAGAACAACCAGACAGCAGGTGCAGCCCAGGACAACGTGAAGGTGTCTTTGGCCTTTGGGCTGAGCATCGCCACACTGGCCCAGAGCGTGGGCCACATCAGCGGTGCCCACCTCAACCCGGCTGTCACTCTGGGACTGCTGCTTAGCTGCCAGATCAGCGTGCTCCGGGCTCTCATGTACATCATCGCCCAGTGCGTGGGGGCCATTGTCGCTACTGCCATCCTCTCGGGCATCACCTCCTCCCTGCCCGACAACTCACTTGGCCTCAACCAGGTGAGTGGGGTAACCTCAGGCTCCTGGGCCCTAGAATGATGGAGAGAGAGCAAGAGTCTCATCCTTCACCCGTTGTGCAGATGGGGACACTGAGGAACACAAAGGACAAGAGGTTACTGGAGGTCATGCGGAGTTGGGGCTGGAACTCAGCTATGCCTGTGACCAGAGCCTGTTTAAAGCCAGGCACTGTGGGAAGCTGAGACCTAGAGAATACTAGTCTTGCCAGTGTCCCCTGCGGGTGTCTATTGTAGGGAATAAGCTCTGGAGGTAGCTAATGTTTGGACCAGCAGTTCCTTGCCCCTTGGTTGTAGTTTATTGGCCCCCTCAGCTCTGCCTGTGCAGCCAGCTCTCTCTCCCTGCAGCCTGAACTCTAGGGAAACTGTCCACCCTCCCCAGTCACCCTGACCGAATGCCCAGCATGTCTGCAGCCAGGCCTACAAGTGTGCAAGCGGGACTCCCATGGGGGTACAAACAGGCCTCCAGGCAGCTCCTATATTCGCACAGGTCCCCAAACAAACTATCTTCAAGGAAAAAGCCCCTCCTGCTCCTCTGCCCTCGGGAAATTGGACAAAGATACAGGGGTGAATACCCTTCTGGGTGTTTGCAGGTGGTTTTCCTGGATTACAGTATGAAGTGGCAGTTGGGGTGGGAACACCATGTACCGGTTCTCCTCTGTCACTGGGCCCTGAGAGGTATGGCACATGTGTCTGAGTGTGAATGGGTGTGTGCACGTGGATGCCAGCATGGGTCTCCATACTTGTGTAAGCTGTGTGCTCTGTGTGTATCTGTCCCTGGAAGTGTCTGGGAGCACATCAGTGCTGCTATGTGAGCATGCGTGTACCCATGGCTCCTACCTTGAAGAAACCTGGCCCGGGGGGCATTAATGATAAGCAGATGTTCGTGACTGGGTGGCAGCTGCTGAAAAGAATTCCTCCCAGGCCGCTTAGCACAGCTAACTGTTGGCTGGCGGCAGTTGCCTGCTGTCGCAGACCTGGGCTTTTCCAGATCCTTGGCCAAGTGCAAACTCAAGACCTGGTTGGGGCCACAGCAGGGAGAATTTTGGCCTGAGAGGCTGAGTAAGGCTTTAAAGCTGTCTCAGAGCACCCAAAGGGGTGCCCTCCCAGGAAGGAGGCAAAGGAACACAGGAGCCAGAGAAAGGAGTCGGGCAGGGCGGGGCAGGCGGGTGTGGGGAAAGTGAGGGAGCACACCAAGGGCTCCGAAGAGACAGCAGTGGGTGAGTATAGCAACTGTCCTCTTGCTTCCCGGCCAAAGTTCAGATCCTGATGCTACCGCTTCAGGATGCTTGGTAAGGTCTGGTGCAGAGGGCAGCTGGCACGGCCCTGCCACAGGGGGATTAGCACTTCTTGTGTCACAGTGACACCTTACCCAGCCTCTTCGTGGAGCCAACCGCTGCTCAGCCCAGGTTTGAAGATTAGCCCTACAGGCTGGAGTTTAGACTTTAGTCGGGAAAGTGGCCACAGTGGGTATAAGGGACAGGGCTCTGGCTGGCCATCTCCCCAGGCCTCAGTCTCTCCAGTGGGGGCAGAGCCAGGTGACTTCAGGGAGTGCCCACTGAGAAGGGTCAGGTTCACTCTGGGGCTTGGCAGGCATGATGGGGGAGGAGATGAGTCCTCATGGGGAGGGTTTGAGTCTCCCCATGCCTGCTGGTTCCCTTTCCAGTCTCCCTTTCAAGGGGCAGGCAGGATGGGCATCTGCTGACAGACTGCTCTCCAACACAGCATCCAAGGCAGGAGCGGGACGGGTGGGCACCTGTGCCCATCTTGATCTGGCCATGCCCTGCAGCAGTGTTCCTTCCCCTCTCCATTTTCCAGAGTCACCTCAGTACCTGGGCTGAGCAAGTTGCAGATGGGGAGGAGAAGTGGCAGGCACACGCAGGGGCCAGGCCTGGGCTGGGAGCCGGACATGCTGGGTGTAAGTCCTGTCTGCTGCTAGCTTGCTGAGTTTCAGAGCTGAGGGCCCCGAAGCTCCAAGAGCCGACCTAGGATTCTTGGTATCTCTCGGCCACACCTGTACTGCTGGCACACTCACTTTGCAGACTTAAGTTTATCATCTTCCCCAGGAGGGCCTGGCTAAGAGGAGCCAGAGGGGCCAAGCTGGACAGAAGGGTGCTGGGTACCATGGTGGGGGCCCAGGCACAGCCCTGTCCACACAATGCAAGGTTGGGGTCTAAAAGGCCAAGTCCTGGGCCTCAAAACAGAGCAAGTGCCCCCCCCCACCCCATCAAGGACTCCTGTCAGACACCGGACCTGGGATCTGAAGGGACTTGGTGGGTGGCCTTTGCCTCAAGAGGGGCAGAGTCCAGTCCACATGGCAAGTGACACATTCTTGCCTCCTGGCCCTGAGGGAAGCTCCCACAGCCGCCTGCACTCCAGACCCCACCCTGACCCAAACCTAGGTGGAGCCAGCTGTCAGCATGGAGACTTCCAAAGAAAATAGGGAGAGAAGTGTCAGGGAGTGGTTGGGGGTGAGTCAGGGGTGTCCCCCAAGGACGTGGTGGGGACAACTTTCTCCTCACTGAGTCAGGGCTCATGATACACCCTAGAGAGACTGCGGGCCATGTCCAGGCTCCAGGATCCCAGCTGGGTGCTAAGAGCCAGACCCCACCTCTGGCCCAGAGCAAGAGGCTCAGAGACAGGGGCGCCCCAGTGCCCCAGTCAGCTCCTGCTCTAGCTCAGCCACTAATACCCTGTGTGACTTCACTCAGGCAACCTTGCCTTTGTGGCCCGTGTTCTCATCTGTGAAAGAGGGACATAGCAGGGCATGGCTGGGCTCTGGGAATTGGAAGATGCTCCAGGAGTCCTGAGTGGAGGCCTGCCTGCTCTTTGAACCCTTTCCCTCTCTGGGTTGCTCACCAGGCTCTGTTAAACTCTGGCTGCTTTGGGCTGAATGAGGGAACGCATCAGCCAGCTTCCTGCCTGGGCAAGCCCAAGGTCCTGGGCCAGATAAGGCCCAGGAAACAGCTGCCTGTGATATGGGGCAGGAGGTGGGTGTGATAAAAGGTGTCAGGGTGGCCAGGGAACATCGGACCTTTAGGGGCGGGGAAGGCCGGGAAGGTTTCAGGAAGGCAGTGCCACAGGAGCCAGAATGTGGAGAACCGGGGAGGGAAGGGGCTTGCAGGCAGAGGATGTTCCAGGTAGCAGTGGGAGGTCATGGCCTGGGAGCTCTGGGGCAATGGGGGTCCTGGTGGGAGACTGGGGCTCTGAGAGTGGTGAGGGCTCAGGATTCAGGCCAATGTCTGACTGTCCTAAAGGGGCCTGGATACCTAGCTCTCCTGAAACCTATAATTTCAGCCCCCTAGGCAGAGGGCTGATCTCCCTGTTGGGGGTCTTCTCTCAGCCCTGCCGATTCTGGGTCTGACTGCCCAGGCACTCCTGCTGCCTCAGGGGCTTGACTTTGGCCCTACACGTTCCTGTCCCAGTGAGTGAGACCCGTCCCCCAGCCCATGCCATTAGTTCTCCCAGGGTCGAGGGCCCCTCTGCCTCCTCCAGAGTTGGGGGTGGCCTGGAGAAAGGGAAGCCAGAGTTTTCAGACAACCCTGCCCAGGAAGGGGGCTGCCATAGCTGGGACGTATAATTACTGTTTCCAGCTAGGCCCAGCTGAGGGGGAGGCACAGAGAGAGGTAGGAGCTTTGCGGTGGAGACTTCCCTTCCATGGAAAATTCAGAGGCACTTTCCCCCATGCCAGCCCTCAGAGCAGCCCTGCAGCCCTCATTGCCTACTCCAGCCCCTGGCCCTAACTGGGGCTCACCCTGGGAACCCTTGTCTGAAGGAGCAGGACTCTTGAGAGGGAACATGGCCTGCTGGGATGCGTGTCTGTGAGGGGACTCACCTTGCCCCTGCCCCACCAGGTCAGAGCCTCCCTCTCACACCTGGAGCCATTAGCTCATTGCAGGCCAGTGCCGCGTCGTCTTTCCTACCTGGGCTCAGGCCTGGGTAGTGCTCCCCACTTTCCTTCAGGCCTCACCCAGTCGGGCTTCCTTCAGGCAAGTCAAACATGCCCCCTGCCTGCCCTATGGAGATTGGCTTGGGAAAACTTCCCTGGGGAGCCCTGTGTTCTTGCTGCCAGGCTCCCTAGGGGCCATGGTCCTTGCCCTCTGGAGCCGCCAATGGGTCTTGGGTCTCCCAAGTGGCTGGGGGCTGAGCCCACATACCTGCAGGAATGGTCAGGGGGATGTCATGGCCAGGGTCCCCTCGACCAGGGCCTCTCCCTGGGGACCTGAGGGACTCCTCACCTACAGGGGTTCCCAGGGTGACAACTGAGGGGCTGTCTTCCAAAGAACTATAGTCCAATGAGGTAGGCCCACCTCAGGCTGAAAACCCTAACTCAGACAAGGCTGGAAAATGCCCATTGCCGTTAGCAGACCCTTAGTGCCTGGCATCCAGTCGTCAGGACAGCTAGAGAGACAACTTCTGCTCTGTATAAAGGATTTTTTTTTAACTGGGAAGGTGCTGTCTCTGGGTCAATAAGCCCCTTGTCATTAGGGGTGTGCAAGTGGAGTCTGCTGGTAGCCAGCTGCTCTGGGGGCATCTGGCTTGTTTGGGGGTACAGCAGGGTGGGTGGGAGGTCCTATAAGAGGCTTTGTGCCATTGTGAAGACCAGCAGGACAGAGTCAGGGAATCCTGCACTCAGCATCCTCGCTGGGAGGGGCCTGTGGGTCTTGGGGGCTGAGGTCCCATGTCAGGTAGGGAGGAATCCTGGAGACTGTGGGGTGGGGAAGGATCTGGATCAAGACTTCCATCTTACTGATAAGGAAACTGAGGGCCCCCAGAGGTGTTGAGGATGCACAACACATCACAGCAGGCCCACACCCCCAGCCCCCTGCTTCTTGATTCTTTCTGCTGCTCCAAAGTGCACACACACACACTCACATTACACCAGCGTGCACACTGGTACATTGCACCTGAGGGCGCATGGAGCACATTGTGGTGGTTCCACTTATGCCTTGGGATCCTAGGAGGGGGGGAGTAGGGGCTTCTCAGTGGAGCCTGTTCCTCTCCTGGGAAGGAGGGCGGAGGCTGCCCTAGAGTAAGGAAAAGTAGGAGTGGGGGAAGGAGGAAGCCATTGCTTTGTGTATTGTTTTTCGTCAGGAATATGAAATGGCTTGTGGGAGCAAATAAAGGCACCTTTGAGATCTGCTGCTCTCTTTCACTCCAAGGGGCCTCCCTCCCTTCTCACCCCCCTCCACCCCAGCCCAGGAGTGATACCTGTGGGGGGAGTGACACACAGGGACAGGGTGACACACTCAGAAATGCTGTCAGGCATACAGCACTGCCATCCAGGGCCACATGCCACAGAGCTCCCCTGACGCCAGAGCCCACCTGGGTAAGAGACCATGCCCTGTGTGATAAGGGTCCTCAGAGACTGTGAAGGTGCATTTGGTCATTATGTGACTAGTTTAATTATGTAATAAACCTTCTAATGTCTAATGAGAAAGAAAAGGAGTCACACCTAGACACATGCAGTCACCCACAGATACCGCAGATACCAACTTACGAAGACGCCCAGAAGTGTGTGCACCATGAAGGGGTGACACGGGGAGCCCACTGAGGTCCCCCTCACTGTGAGTGCCGAGTCCTGGAGGCAGTGGTATGCAGGAAGGCCTCGGTTCCTTGGGAATAGATGCTCAGAGCCGTAGCCAGGCCTCTGGAGCCTGCTGCTCCCCAAGGGTGGGAGGCCAGGATGCTCAGACCATCCCTGTGCCCTGGGCTGTAGGAGCTACCTTGGTCAGTCTACCTTGGCAGGGAGAGCTTGAGACCCATTGCCTGGAGAGGTCAGTCATCATGGTGCCACCCTGGTGCTTGGGGTACACTAGCAGCTTTAGAGCTATCTTCTTCCATCAGCAAGTCAGTCCAAGCTGGGAACAGCCAAATCTCCTGTCTGGGCCTGGAGGTAGCCAGCACCTTGGCCTAGGAGTGGGAGGCACAGACCCCAGGGCAATGATCCTGGCTTCGCTGTCTCCTCCCTGGGGCTCAGCCTGTTCATTCGTCTTCACAGAGCCTTGCACAGGCTGACCTGGAAGGCCTGTGGGGGTGTAATGACTGGCCGTGGGCTCCCAGCTAGAAAGGAAGTAACCCAGCCTCGGTCCAGAAAACTTCGCTGGAGCCTCTCTGCCTCTAGAGAGGGTAGAAATTGTATAAAATTAGCATCTTCTGCCACCACACAGCAAATGTTGCTTCTGAGTTCTGGGCAGGAAGACGGGAAGGTCTCCCTGCTCTGTCCTTGTAAATCTCCCAGGTGCGGGGGTGGGGGGGTGGTCTGAGGCACCTACATAGGAGACAGGAGGGTTGGTTCCCTGCAAGAGTTGTGGCCATTCAGTGAGGGCACGGCAGGGTGGCAGCAGAAGTTAATTCCATCCAGGGACCTATGAAAGCTTTTTGGAGTTGGTAGTGGTCTGAATTGGGCTTTGAAAGTGGGCTTCAATGGGTTTGGCACAAAAATGAGCTTGCATTTTTTCTGATGCTTCAGATTACATATGTGGATTATTCTGTTGTTCATACTTGCCATTCATGAAACTGATTGTTGCTTCTTTGTTTTTTGGACTTAATCAGTGAAAATAAGACCCATGCTGGGCAAAACGACCTGGAGATGTGCACACATATTTTTTTCTAATAACAAGTGACAACAACTGGGATTAACCGTATTTAAGCAATTGTTTAAAATTTAATGGACTGTGAACAGTACATATGTTTTAGATTTTTACCTGCTCTTTCCCAGATATCAAGTTTCAAAAGACCTTTAACTACCCCTTCCAATTTCAGACTTACCAAGTTTTTCCAGATGTAAGTAATGTAAGTACATTGCCAGTCAAAGGTGGTCAGGAGACCCTGAAGCAATCAGGGCAGACTTCCAGTGTGGTGGTGGTAGTATCCAGAGAGGAAGGTTGCCACCCCATGCGGTTCTGAGCTAAGAGCTCTAGGCAGTCAGGAAGGGGGTACCTTCCGAGTTCCCAGGGGAGGGGGCTCGCCACTTCCCTTCCCTTCCCATGAACTCTAAGCACTACGCATGGCTCCAGACCCCCTGCTTTGCTTACTTTACCTGAAAAGGGGTGCCTTTGGGCAGAGCAGGGCCTGGGGTGCTCAGACCCAGCTAAGAACTGGGGAGGTGAGCTCACCTAGGCCAAGTCTGTGAGAGGGTCGGGGTGGGGAGTATGAGGCAGGAGCCACTTGCAGCCATGACTCCATTAATCAGTGTGGAAGGGCTGGTTTCAGGACTAGTGCCAGCTAGCAATTAGGCTGACCCTGGAAAGCAGAGGAGGGAGCAGGAGGGGCCCTGGGTGTTCTGACCTGGACGCAGGGCTGGCGGCAGGTGGGAGTGTGGTGAGCACTGGTATACGTTGGCCGGCCTCTCCAGCCTCGCCTCCATGAGCCTGTCCTGGCTCCAGGCGGGCTCCCTCCCAGCTCCATACGCCTGGTCAGTGGGGCGCCTCCTCTGCTGCTTGTCCCCCAGTCCTGGGGATAGGATGAGAAAGAACCAGAGTGAAACCACAGCTCTCCCGGCCCCTCCTGCCTCGGCAGCCCTTTCCCTGAGACAGCCCCATTGCCCTTGAACCCCTGGCCACTCCGGAGAGTGGGCACGGAAAGTTAGATCTTTTACAGTTGAGGGAACTGAGGCCCAGGGAGGGGAAAGGCCATGTCATGGTGCCGGCAAGTAGGAGGGTCAGGACCCTGCCCACAGGGCTTCTGCCTCTACCGCCCAGCCTTGGGGTGCGCAGCGCACTAGGCGTTGCCCGGCAGGCTGCCCGAGCTGAGGGGCTGCAGCTCTGGGGTCGGCCAGCAAAGGCCCAGCACTGAGGCTGCAGCGCAGGGGAGGGGATGTGAGTCACTTTCCCTGTGACCCAGGGCTACAGACAAAGACGGGAAGGGAATTGTTCTTCTAAGATGGTCTCAGGGTGGGGCTGAGGAAACCTCTGGAGGATGGAGGAGGCCCCCCCACTCCAGGATTCTATAAAATGCCCTCTGGCTGTGGAGACTCCTCAGGATGAGATGTCAAGTTCAGGCTTGTTTGGACACAGTCACCGCCTGGGAGAAGGCAGCCTATATGGCCATATCTGGGCACCTTTGCCAATGGGCCTTTGCCGGTGGGGCCCAGATCACCTGTGTGGGTGCATCTGGCCCCTGGGACCCCCAACATGAGAGAGGGTCAGAGGCTCCCTAGGGAGGGGTCCCCTGGGTGCCACTGCAGGGGGATGGTTCTGGTGACCTCATGGCAGCTCTCATTCCCTTCTTTTTCCATGAGTCATGTTTCTAAAAGTGGCCCAGGAGCAAGTGGCAGACAGAGGGTGGTGGCGGGGCCTATGTGGCCAGAAAGAGGGAGTGGGAGGGAGAGACCGGGAGTGCAGGGCCAAGAAGAAACGGGAGAGAGACACTAGACCAGGGGAGAGGCAGACTGGGCCGAGGAAGGAGGCCAAGGGTGGGGCAGTGAGGGAAACAGGCGTAGGGGAGGGACCAAGGTGCTGGGGCCAGCTTTCCAAGGAAGGCCCTCCCCAGCTTTGGGAGATGTGGCAGGGGACGGGGTGGAATGTTCTGGACCTTTGGGTCGTGGAACGATGCTTCCCAGCGGGCCGTCCCACCCATTTGTGTCTCTTCTATGAGTGTCCCTGACCATCTCTGTGCATTCCTGGGGCTCACCACTTGCCTATGGCCTTGGTACCCCCGGGATATCCTGGCTGGAACTGGATACAGATGCCCCACCTCACCCCAGGCCTCTGTGGCCTCTAGGCAGAGCACTGCCGGGTCTAGGCAGGGACCAGGGGCCAAACTAGCATTTCCTCAACATGTGCGGGAGGGGACAAGGCCTGATGTCCACTACCGGCTGTATTTGCTTGGGTGGGGCCTGGACCGCACTGGGCCCAGCCAGGGGCTGATGTGACGGTCTCTGAGGTCACTGCGTGTCTGGGCCCAGTGACCCCTGCTCTGCCCATCGAGCCTCACCGCCCCTCTCCCCTACAGCTGGCCCCAGGCGTGAACTCCGGCCAAGGCCTGGGCATCGAGATCATCGGCACCCTGCAGCTGGTGCTCTGTGTGCTGGCCACCACCGACCGGAGGCGCCGTGACCTCGGGGGCTCGTCCCCACTTGCCATTGGCCTCTCTGTGTCCCTGGGACACCTGCTGGCAGTGAGTGGGGGCCTTCCCAGGTGGGGCTGGGGTGGGAGGGGAAGGCCAGTCAGCGGCTGCTGGAGTGCCCTGTCATGGCAGTGGAGGGGACCCCAGACAGGACTCATGACATGGAGTGGGGGGTTGGCTCTCTTTGGTGGGGGCAGGGTCCGGCTCAGGAGAGAGAAGCACAGGGACATCCCGGCCATCTTTCTGAGTCAGGATGCCCCTCCCTTTCTGGATCTGATTGTCACTTCCCTGCTACACCTCCCTGTTTTGTTCTCTCTCTGTGTCACTGTCTCTCTTGCTGTTCCTCCATCTCTGTTTCTCTCTGTGTCTCCCCTTTTCCCTCTGGCCCTTTCCCCCTCACAGATTGACTATACGGGATGCGGCATTAACCCTGCCCGGTCCTTCGGTTCCTCAGTGATCACTCACAACTTCAAGGACCACTGGGTAAGGGGTCCCAGAGCTACCCCAGGGAAGGCAGGTGGGAGGCTTTGGTGCTGTATGGCAGGTCCCACCCCACCTTTCATGGTTCTTTCCCAGCTCAGAGGCTCTGGGAGACAATTGGGAAACTGAGGTCTGAGATGAAAGGGCTGGTGGGTCACCTCCGGGTCAGCATAGGCCCAGCCTCTGCCTGCCCAGCTTGGACCTGCCCCAAGTCATCCCAGCAGCATGCTTGAGAGTGAGGCCTGAATCCTGGCTCCACCACTTTCCCATTTGGCTTGACCTTGGGCAGGCTGCCAGTTCTCTTGGCTCCGAGCTGGGAAATGGAGGTGTAGTAGTACCTCCTCACCTCCCAGGGTTGCAGGGAGCATAGCCTTATCACCTGTAAGGTGAGCTCAGCACAGAGTAAGTGCTCAATGGATTTAGCTGTTCTTACAGTTGAGGCCAACCTTTCATCAAACTAGACTTTCCTGTGGCCTTTCCAAAGCTGGGGAAGGAGATGCAGTGGCCGCGCTCCAAAAGGGGCTCTCTGACCATGTCAGGCGCCCTGAGCTGGGCCACACGGAGGCAAGGAGATGAGATGCCCACCACCACAGTCCTAGCTTGGCTAGTTCAGGTGTACCGGCATCGGGATGTTGGGGTTCAGCACTGCCTGCCTCTGTCCCAGGCACAGCTGGGAAAGAACCCCTCCAATGGAGTGGTGGGGCGGGGAACCCAGGGAAAGTATCCCAGGAGAGGGAGCTTTCTGTGAAGCCTCAAAGGCCCCATCAGATGCCCTCTGAGCACACCTGCTCTGTTCCTAGATTTTCTGGGTGGGGCCATTCATCGGGGGAGCCCTGGCTGTGCTCATCTACGACTTCATCCTGGCCCCACGCACCAGCGACCTCACAGACCGCGTGAAGGTGTGGACCAGCGGCCAGGTGGAGGAGTATGACCTGGATGGTGATGACGTCAACTCCAGGGTGGAGATGAAGCCCAAGTAGAGGGGGCCTGGCCCGGGCATCCCCGTGGGGGTCGGGGGCAGGGGCGGGCGGAGGGGGGGCATGAAATCCATATTGTAGGCACTCTGACAAGCCGGCCAACATTACTTCCCAAAGATCCACCAGACCTGCGTGGTCAAGCCTGATTTGGGGCTCTATCACTTTCTTTCTTTTTCTCTGTTTTCTGGCCTCTGGGCTTTCTGGAGACTAAGATTTGCCAATCACCGCTCCCTTGAAGTCATGGAGGAGGTAGAAGAGAGGAACCCACCTGCTATGTTGTCCCCTCAGAGTGTGATGGGAGGTGTGCCAGAAAGCTCCCCCTCATCCCAGAGCTGCTCACCAGCTCATCTGCCGCAGGTGCCTGGTGCTTCACCGTTACTGCTGTGTGCCGTTGGCCATGGCCTCCTCCTTCGGGGACCATGTGCTTTTCCCCCGGGTGCTTGGAGGGGAAGAGACCCAGGAGGTGCAGGGGCAGGGGCAGATAAGCTTCATCCTTGCCGGCTGGCTTGCTTCCAGCCCAGCATGCCCGGACTTGCGACCTGACCTGGGGACATTTTGGGGCCTCAGTGACCCCATCTATAAAGCGCAGGGCCAAGGAGTGCTCTATGGGCCTGGGGCCCTCTCTGTGGTTCTCTTAGGGTAGACACTGAGGGGTCTGGAAGCTGTCACATGGGCCAGTACTGCCTGTTCCACTTGTCCGTGGTTCTTTGCCCATGTTTATAACTCTACCTACACATCTGTGCAAACATGTGTGCATATGTATACATTTTCGAAGCAGAGGTCAACAACAGTTCAGGTCCCTGGAAGTTCCTGTTCCTTGGGGAACAGGGTTGAGCTCTATGCAGTGCCTTCACCACACAGGGCCTGCTATTGCATAACAACAGCCATGTAGAGGGGGAGGAGAAATACCCACATGCCTTCACTGGGTTTTAGTTCATCTTTTCCACCTACTCCTGCATCATCTTGATCATTATTCTGTTCTCCAGTTCTTCCTGCTGGTGTAGACACAAGTCCCCATTATGCAATGTGTGTTTATTAAACGGCAGTTAGTTATCTAAAGCCCCAAGCCTAAGGACAGAGGACCATGACATGGATTAGCCCGCAGAGGGAAATGCCCTTGCTGGACCCTTAGGGGGGTTGCCAGATCCCCAGCTGATCTTGAGGCAGGAAGGGGAGCAGATTGCCTCCTCACTGCTGAGCTCCTGGTTGGAGATGTTTGGGCAGCTGGGTGACCTTGTGTGACCCCAGGCCACAGCCTTCCCTTCTCCCTGACCTGGAGGGGAGAGTGGGCCTTGACCTGATGAGGAAGCTACCACAGCAGCCAAGGACAGTTCAGAGTACACTCTGCTTTGGGGGCGGCCAGTCACACAGTCTACTCAATTCCATCAGGGCCAAGGCTGGTCCCCCCAGGCCCCCCGGGTCTGCAAGAGCTGGCGTCCATAGCCACGATGGTGACAGACCGAGAGACACAACACGCAGGTATCTACAAGTAGCAAAATGATCAGGAGGCCCTCAACAGTCAGGCCATCTGCACACTTCTCCATTCCCTAGCAGGGACTTAGCCCATTTAACAGATAAGGAAACGGAGGCCCAAGGTCCCCCAGCTAGATAATGATTTGGCTGGCCTAGCAGCCAAGGCCATGTCTCTGGCTACTCCTTGGACCATGAGACTGGTCCCTCTCGTTCTTAGCTTCTCAGTTTCTGCCAGAGGCCAGCAGGGGAGAGGGTTGGGCTGGAGGGGAGAGGGGGCAGCCCCATTCTGGCTGCTGCATACCAGGACCCTGCATCTGTCTGCTCTGCATATATGTGTCCTTGAAATTGGAATTTCATTACATGTTCAGAAAATAAAGGAAAATGACTTGTAAGGTCACCCAGGCTGCCTGTAGCTTGTTTTCTTTTGGCACCACGTTCCCACTAAGGATCTCTGAGTCTGAGAGGAAACTGGGGCTCAGCCTAGGGACTCAGTCTGAGGGGGAGCCACAGCCTGCCTTCCTGCCCCCAGGATCCCTGGTCTTGGTGGGTGCACATGGCCCCACCCCAGAACTCCATCTCAGGGACACAGGGCCTTTCCCCCAATAGGGGCCTTTTTTGATTCTAGAGTGAGATGGGATGGGGAAGCAGGACTGGAGTGTGGCAACCCCATTAGCCCCTCTGCTGTCCTCAGAGTAGGGGCCAGGGAGCATGAGGGACTGTGCAGGTGTCCCTCCTTCCCTCGCTTCGCTCACATTCCCAACCCCACCCACACCTGGGGCCCGTGTTTTTGCCCGGGAGGTCACCCACCAGAGCTGAGGGAGCTTGGGGCCAGGCCTGGTGATGTGAGCTGGCTGGTGCAGCCTGGCCATTGCAGCTAAGAGGAGAAGGGCCCTTTAGGGCCTGCAACCCTGTGGGCCCCTCTGCTCCTGAAGGCCCGAGCCATGCTCACGGAGGATGTGCATTTAACCAGGGAGGAGTTTGTGGCTTTTGTCAGATTTTCTAAGGGGTCTGGCCAGGGCAGAAGAGAAGAGAGGTCCAAGTGGGCTGGCCTGTGCCCTGAGGGTGGCAGGGAGCCACGAAAGGCCCTCTCTGTCCACTCCTGCCCCCTACCTGTCCTCAAGCAGCCCTGAGGCCAGTGTGGGCTGACAAAGCCTCTGTCTGGCCTCTTGAACTCACAAAACCCTTTCCCCCTTATGGCTTCTCCCAGTGGTGGGGGCATAGCAAGTGTAGGTGTCCTCATTCAGTTGGGGAGAGATGGATAGTCAGAGACATGCCCCAAAGTCACAAGACAAGTTAAGTCTCTGTCAAGCTGAGAGTTGGAGCCAGGATCCTGACACTCTCCTCACCCCCCAACAAACATACACCCTTAGGGCTAGTTTCTCAAAACAGGGACAACTATACTGGGAAGCTGAGTGCCCCATAATAAGGAACAGACCCTATTTTAATGGGCAGGTTTGTACCTTCCATGAGGGCCAGAGTCTGGGAGTCTCAGAAGCATCAGTCTTCTGGAAATCTTACCAGGCCATATGGGCAGATGTCACTGTAGGTATGGCTGAGAAAAGGTGTGGGTTGAGCAGGGAAGGGGTGTCTGGGAGGGTCCTGGCACCCCAGCACTGCTCTAAGAGACACCTTGTTCCCGCTCCCCTCTGGTAGATGCACGGCTGATGGAGATACAAGGGTGGCTCGGCAGGGCCAAGGGCTGGGCCCCCCTGGTGAAGCCTGGGCCAACGCCATGGGAACAGGCTTTCTTGCTCCAGTGTGCACTGGGTCACTGTGAGTGCCACTTGCACTCTCAGCCCATGCATCCTCCAGGCTGAGAGGACAGGGTGAAGCTAACAGGATATGGGCTGGCTCACTGCAACCCAGGCACACGTGTGAAGATGTGCTGAGGCCATCTCCCCACAGCCTTTCTGGTTTGTCCCCTTCTCTTGACCCATCATGCCAGGTGTGAAGCCCTCTCAGTCCCCACTATGTGCCCTGGCCACCTCCACCTCAATCCCTGTTCTTCCTTTGCCACCCCCTGACCTTCAGGGCAGAGCCTTTCTTATTAATTATTTAGTTAAAACTTCTAGAATTCTAGTGTCAAGAAGCAGGACCTGAAGTAGAGTTCAGGGAACTGGTATTTCTTGAGCACTTACTGTGGGTGAGCAATGTCCCTGGATCTTCACCTAAAGTCTTTCTGATCGCTACATCCTTGGAAGGTAGAGATGACTGCCCTCATTTATAGAGGGCACTCAGGCCCCTGAAGATAAGATGATTTGCCCAAGGTCACACAGCCTGTTGGTGATGGAATTGCAATTTGAACCTGCTCTGCTTGGTTTCAAAGATTGGGCTTTTTCTACTATGTGGTGCTGGCCCCTTTTGTCATGACCTCTACTAAGTTTAGCTCTAGGCCAGCTTCCTCTGCCTTCAGGGTATTGGAAGGAGGAAGAAGGAAGGAGAATGGCCCATTGAAGGGGACTTCAGTACTAGGAAAAGCACTGTTCCTTCCAGCATCAGCTGTATGTGGTATCTGTTTGAGACACATTGGCACCACCTAGCCCCAGGCTGCTCCCCTGGTGCTGGCTGCACCCCTGCCTCTCCCGGCCTGACTCCTCTATCTGGGAGGAAATAGTCTAATAAACTTGCTCTTCCACCAGTTGTCCTCTCCACAGAATATATGAGAAGGGGAGGGTAATGCTACACTCTGAGGGATAATAATGCATGTTGAGGGGTCTCTAATGCCCATTTGGGCCTGGGGCAATAGCTTTGGAGCCAGATTGTCCCAGACTCTCTCTCATCTTCTGGTGTATGGGTTCAGTGCTTCACTCACTCCATTTCCCAAGGGTCATCCACACGCTGCTCTGCTTGTGTGCTGTCCAGCCCAGCACAGAGGAGAGGCTTTGGGGGAAAAGCTGGAGTACAGTGGAGCTTCTGGAGCAATCAGAGCTTTTGTCTGTTTTGTTCTTAAAACTTTAATGGAGGGAGTGAATTTTCTGGAAGATTCTGTGACTTAACCTTCATCTCTTGTCTGCCGAGCATTCAGGTGACTACACATGTGAGGTACTCTGGTGGGAGGCACCTATTACCCCCCTTTATATGGGTCCCTGCTGAGGCCAGACATCAGGTTACTCCCTTGGACTGCCCTATGGACCAGTGGAGACTGGCACATGCAAGTGGCTCAGGTGGCCTGGAAGGTTGTGCCTTCTGCACTTGGGCCAGAAGGAAGCAGGATGGAATCTAGCAGCCATTGGATCCTGGAATATTTATCCCCCCAATTAACTCACAAGAGCAAAAGGTTGTGATTCCACGTTGCCTCACCTGTTCTGAGGTTTCAGAACCCTGGCCTAGATACACAATTTTCCAAAGCCTTTTAGAGGGAACATCAGGCAGAACCCTGTGATGGATGTTCAGATCAATTTGAAGTGAACTTTAAGCTGCACATACACAGGCCCTCAAACATGGGTCCAGTTGGTCTTGGGTTCTAATCATCCAAGAATCTGGAGTCCTTGCAGACCCATCTTTCCCTTTTCTTCCAGAGTCAAGGGGATTCCTCTTTCCAGGCCCCAGAGAAGTGCTGAGAGGTCTATGGGAGGACGATTGATCTTTGATACTACCTTCAACTGAGGTTGGTAGCAGCTGGTCTGACACAGATGCCACAAAGCCTCAACAGGGCTAGTGGCCCCCAATGCTGGCCTGATCCCAACATCATTATCGGTGTCCAAAGCTCATGTGGCTCCAGAGGGCCCAAATGAAAGGGCGTGGGTGGTTCAAGGCAGCCATTTGTCACTTGGCCCCAAGGACCGCAGTGCATTTTGGGGAACTGGTAGATGCAGGGAGGGTTGTCTCCCTTTTGTGGTTCCCAGGCTGGTCCTCAGTACCCTGGCAACCAAAGCCAGGAGCTGGTCTGGAAAAGCACTGGAGGGACTGGTGCCAGGGGCCCCTGCCCTTGGCGTGGCCACGTGCTGACCCGTTAGGGTTTTTCCATCACTCCTGGAGGTCACACCTTCACTGGTCAGGAGCCTCTCAAGGAGGGGATAATGATTAATGTTTCATGGGCAAGCTGCTAGGCATGACGCCTTGTTTTCTTTAGGTTTAGAATACAATGAGGACGATGAATGGAATTTGCTGCGAGCTGGGGGCCAAGGTGGGGCCCTCCTTGAGGGCTGAGGACTCACAGGTGGTGTTGTTTACTGTCCTTTCCTTAGTGCTGAAAAGGGGGCAATTCTGGCAGTAGGAATCCCTGTTCTTCCTTTGCCACCCCCTGACCTTCAGGGCAGAGCCTTTCTTATTAATTATTTAGTTAAAACTTCTAGAATTCTAGTGTCAAGAAGCAGGACCTGAAGTAGAGTTCAGGGAACTGGTATTTCTTGAGCACTTACTGTGGGTGAGCAATGTCCCTGGATCTTCACCTAAAGTCTTTCTGATCGCTACATCCTTGGAAGGTAGAGATGACTGCCCTCATTTATAGAGGGCACTCAGGCCCCTGAAGATAAGATGATTTGCCCAAGGTCACACAGCCTGTTGGTGATGGAATTGCAATTTGAACCTGCTCTGCTTGGTTTCAAAGATTGGGCTTTTTCTACTATGTGGTGCTGGCCCCTTTTGTCATGACCTCTACTAAGTTTAGCTCTAGGCCAGCTTCCTCTGCCTTCAGGGTATTGGAAGGAGGAAGAAGGAAGGAGAATGGCCCATTGAAGGGGACTTCAGTACTAGGAAAAGCACTGTTCCTTCCAGCATCAGCTGTATGTGGTATCTGTTTGAGACACATTGGCACCACCTAGCCCCAGGCTGCTCCCCTGGTGCTGGCTGCACCCCTGCCTCTCCCGGCCTGACTCCTCTATCTGGGAGGAAATAGTCTAATAAACTTGCTCTTCCACCAGTTGTCCTCTCCACAGAATATATGAGAAGGGGAGGGTAATGCTACACTCTGAGGGATAATAATGCATGTTGAGGGGTCTCTAATGCCCATTTGGGCCTGGGGCAATAGCTTTGGAGCCAGATTGTCCCAGACTCTCTCTCATCTTCTGGTGTATGGGTTCAGTGCTTCACTCACTCCATTTCCCAAGGGTCATCCACACGCTGCTCTGCTTGTGTGCTGTCCAGCCCAGCACAGAGGAGAGGCTTTGGGGGAAAAGCTGGAGTACAGTGGAGCTTCTGGAGCAATCAGAGCTTTTGTCTGTTTTGTTCTTAAAACTTTAATGGAGGGAGTGAATTTTCTGGAAGATTCTGTGACTTAACCTTCATCTCTTGTCTGCCGAGCATTCAGGTGACTACACATGTGAGGTACTCTGGTGGGAGGCACCTATTACCCCCCTTTATATGGGTCCCTGCTGAGGCCAGACATCAGGTTACTCCCTTGGACTGCCCTATGGACCAGTGGAGACTGGCACATGCAAGTGGCTCAGGTGGCCTGGAAGGTTGTGCCTTCTGCACTTGGGCCAGAAGGAAGCAGGATGGAATCTAGCAGCCATTGGATCCTGGAATATTTATCCCCCCAATTAACTCACAAGAGCAAAAGGTTGTGATTCCACGTTGCCTCACCTGTTCTGAGGTTTCAGAACCCTGGCCTAGATACACAATTTTCCAAAGCCTTTTAGAGGGAACATCAGGCAGAACCCTGTGATGGATGTTCAGATCAATTTGAAGTGAACTTTAAGCTGCACATACACAGGCCCTCAAACATGGGTCCAGTTGGTCTTGGGTTCTAATCATCCAAGAATCTGGAGTCCTTGCAGACCCATCTTTCCCTTTTCTTCCAGAGTCAAGGGGATTCCTCTTTCCAGGCCCCAGAGAAGTGCTGAGAGGTCTATGGGAGGACGATTGATCTTTGATACTACCTTCAACTGAGGTTGGTAGCAGCTGGTCTGACACAGATGCCACAAAGCCTCAACAGGGCTAGTGGCCCCCAATGCTGGCCTGATCCCAACATCATTATCGGTGTCCAAAGCTCATGTGGCTCCAGAGGGCCCAAATGAAAGGGCGTGGGTGGTTCAAGGCAGCCATTTGTCACTTGGCCCCAAGGACCGCAGTGCATTTTGGGGAACTGGTAGATGCAGGGAGGGTTGTCTCCCTTTTGTGGTTCCCAGGCTGGTCCTCAGTACCCTGGCAACCAAAGCCAGGAGCTGGTCTGGAAAAGCACTGGAGGGACTGGTGCCAGGGGCCCCTGCCCTTGGCGTGGCCACGTGCTGACCCGTTAGGGTTTTTCCATCACTCCTGGAGGTCACACCTTCACTGGTCAGGAGCCTCTCAAGGAGGGGATAATGATTAATGTTTCATGGGCAAGCTGCTAGGCATGACGCCTTGTTTTCTTTAGGTTTAGAATACAATGAGGACGATGAATGGAATTTGCTGCGAGCTGGGGGCCAAGGTGGGGCCCTCCTTGAGGGCTGAGGACTCACAGGTGGTGTTGTTTACTGTCCTTTCCTTAGTGCTGAAAAGGGGGCAATTCTGGCAGTAGGGAAGACGAGGAGGACTTTGCCTATGGCGGCTTCATCCCCAGCCCTCAAGAGACAGTTTCCACCAGTACTCTGGGCCCGGTGTGCGGAGAGGCCACTGGGGAAGGGTGCTCAGAAATTTTAATGAGCTCGTTCTGCTTAGGTGAGTCTACTTCATCCCACTAAAATCACATTCTCTGCATATAGGATTTGGATTTTTTTTCTGTTCTTTCCAGTGTATTGATGGGGAACGAGGTGAGGGTACAACTGATCTTCAGTCATATGGGTCAGGCCTCACTGGTTCTTAAGTATTAAAATACTTCCGACTTTTCTAAGCTCCTTAAGCACCCCTCCCCCCATCTGGCCTCCCTGGCTGCCCAGGTCCTTCTTTCGTCTCTAAACGCCCCTGGATCTCCCCACAGTGCAGCTCTTAAAGGGTAAATCTGTCATCAGCATGGGCCTTCCAGGACCCAGTCCAGCACTTGGAGTTGTGGGCTACTCATGAGTGGGTTGGTGCCCTCGCCGTGAACATAGCTGTTAACGTATTTTGCACATCACCTCTGGGTGGGAAAGGAACTATTCAATTCATAACTATATAACAGAGGTGTCCATTCAGTAAGTTCAAGTTAGAAATAGTGTGTGTGTGTGTGTTGGGGGAGACCCTATTCCTGTCATACTGTATTCGGAGTCATGCTCTGATCTGTCCTAAGAACTTTCTCAGAAATTCTCACACAAACTCAGTGCTCTGCCAGCTCTGGCAGCCTGGCCTGCCACCCACCCCTGCTACACAGTCAAAGCTGGAGAAATGGCCTCTGCCCACAGTCATGTTGTTACTAGGAGATGTCCCACTGGGTGCCATACTTAGCTGGCCTGCACCTGTGTAGAATATTAGCTTGAGAAGGCTGGCCTGGCTTGTGTCATTAAGGGGGAGCCGGTACAGATTTTTTCCACAAGGTACTAAGTAGGCAAATAAATCTCCAAGTAATTTGGAGGGAGAAAAGTATTGTCTTTGGGGAGAAAAATGGAAGGGAGGGAGTGGGGGAGATAGAAATACAGAAACTCTCAGTGAGTTCAGTGAATGAGTCCAATCTGCCCACAAAAGCAAACGCAAAATATTAATAAAAATGCAGAGGTTCTCTAGGATGGGAGCCCAGCACTCACAGCAGCCCTGAATATTCTGAAATGAGCGAGTGTTGTACTTTTTAAACTTACCTTATGTTTTTCATCATGCAACTTAAACAGAAGTAAATAATTTATACCTTTAAGGAACTCAAATAGAAAACCCAAACAAATTAAGCCTATAAAACCAATTAAATTAATTGTAATCATCTAAGTTTAAAGTCAATGGAGGAGGTGCTATGTCATGTGGGGTGTTAATATATTTTGAATATCACTTTGTTGTGTGTGAGTGAGTGTGTGTGGTGGGGGTGAGTGTGTGTGAGTGAGTTAAGTCCATAAAGTGGGAATCAGTGATGTCTGAGTTGACTGTGGAACTTACTAGAGCATCTTCTGGATTGTGCAGGCTATTGCCTGCCAGTTGATGGCATGACCTACTCATAGCTTTTTGGTTATATGTTTGAACTCCAAGGAAAGTTGCCATAAAATGAGCTTGAGCTTTTGAACAATATGAGGGCTCTTCACTCAGACCTACAGAGTGGCCAGGTACCTGCTGAGATCCAGCAGTTGACGTTCATCTGTCTGATGGAAAAAGCAAGTTCTCAGGGATCCGGGGGAGTCAAAGATCCCTTCTCCCCCCCTGCCAGATCAGCTCTACTTGTTTGGATAGATGACACAGAAGGTGGTGGTGGTTTTTTTTCTTCAGTGAACATTTTTTTCAATGAGAAATGCTTAAGAAATCATACATTTGATAAGAATGCTGGCAACCTCTATTTTCATAGATCATGCTTCCTCAGTTGGCATTCCTTGTGAAGTCAGACACTGGGAGGTGAGTTTCATATGCAAGACGGTGCAAGGAGGATGGGCTAGTTTCATGTCTTGTTCAAATCATTGACAGAGCCTGGTTTGGGAGGCAGCCTCTCCCATAGACACAGAGCATGTGGCCCCTGAATTTCAACAGCCCACCTGGTGGGTGCCAACTGCCAAGCTTGCAGCTACAGCTCTGAGATGAACATTCGTGCCTTCCTGTGATAGCATTATGCATATCCACCCACATTTCCGGGTCTCAGCAGCAAAGACCTGGACATGGAGGATGGTGTTCTCCCTACGCACTTCTCTTTTTGTCTCCAGCCTTGCTTCGCCCCCCTCTCTCCTTTCTGCATTTCTGCAGACCTGAAGAAGTGTTTCTGCTCCAGGCCCTGCAAGAGGATTCCTGGGCCCTAAGGAGAGAATGATTCTGTTAAACTGTTCATTAAGTTCCGGGAGCTGCTGATGCTCCTGGATAGTGATTGATGGGCCAGTGGCACCTTCCATCCGAGACGAACTCCAAGAATTTCTGCTGCTGGCAGTGACCTCCCAGCCTGGGAGGAGCAGCTGCATCCGCCTCCAGGAATGTGGGGCCCAGAGACACCAAACCTAGGAATGCCTCCACGGGGCCCAAAGCTTTAGTTCCAGAAAATTCGGAGGGCTCCTAGCTTCCTAGCCATTTCCCTCCTTCTCACTAAGTATGAAGCCACATCTCAGACTGCCCTTGAGATTTTCTGGAGGGAAAATCCTAGTGAGTTAAATTTGAAACTGTTCAGCAGCCACAGGGATTTTACAGCAGGTGCCATCTGTGTGCTCAGCCAAGGCCTCGCTTAGGTGGGTCCCCTGCCTGCTGTGGTCTGGCAGACTGAGAGCCTTTGCTCCTGGACTGATCACTGATTGGTTTTCACAGGGTATGAGGAAAGTTTGGAAACCGTATCACTCCCTGGGAGCCTCATCATAATAGAGGCTCTGACAAGTCCTGTAATTAAAAACTCACTTATTGGAGCCAATGTTCACCACACTGATTTGTCCACAGAGCTCTTCTGAAAGTAGCTTGGGTAAGTGTTGTGGAGAATTGGTTTTTACAGAACACATACTGGGCAGTATCTCTGAGGGCTCCTGGGTTTGCAGGCTCCCCTGTCTGTAACCCCAGGCTGGCTTCATTTATCAGAACCTGGCCTGAGGGCAGGTGTGTGGGAAGAAGAAGGAGAGAGAAGTTCTGAGTTCTAAGTGGGGGTCCTGCAGGGTAGGAGAAAGGGGAGACAGATACGATGTGTGTACATGTGAGAGAAAGGCAGAGAGAGGGGGTGGGGGAGAGATCTGGTGAGAGAGAGAAATGCCAAGTTATCAAGACAGAAAGATCACAGTTTTATGACACGAAGAGAGGAGGGGGGGATGGGTGGGCTGAGTCTGGTCTGGGTGATGGGTGGGGGGGGGACCCTCCTCCTTGGAATGACTCCCTGGGCCCATCACTGATTAATCCCCATCTTGCCCTGTGCTGCCACCCTGGGAGCTTGTGCAGGAGCCAGTGGCAGTGGCCTGGGTACTCTGGGGAAGGCCTCCAGGAAGGCAACTCCATGAATCATTGACTGGCCTTCCATTGTGCTGGAACCAGCCGGGGCCAGTGGCTGTGCCAAGCTCCTGGAGCTGTGGGCAAAGGTGGCACAGGCTGGGGGGGTGGGCAGCCCAATCTGGGCCGGATCTCTCTAGACCTCTGGGAAGCCCAATCCCGGGCCTTTGGGATGGGCCCAGCCCAGCAGGACTCTCACCACCAGAGCAGGGCAGCAGTGAATGAGCACTGGGCTAGGAGCTAGGGCCAGAGTTCTAGGCCTGCCTCTGCTGCTGACTAACTGTCCACCTCGGATAAATCCTTAGCTTCTCTGTGCCTCAGTTTCCCCATCCATACAATGGGGATTGAATTCAGGAGTCCCAAAAGGCCCTCCCAGGTCTAGGATTTTGCTCAAAATCTTGTAAGCTCTCCCCATGTGCAGGCTGGGGTCTTACTGGTTCACACCTCAGCCCGTATCTTTGCAGCTCTGTTGTACTGCCCCCTTCCTCTGTGGTTGCTCAGCTCTGCTGCAGGGGACACACATAGGGATGGAGGCCTTGGGTCTGGTCTTGAAAGCGCCAGGAGACTCGGGGGACCTGACAGCCCCCATGGCCAGGATTAGGTCTGTCCAGCTCTGCAGCCCTGGATGGTGCAGGACTGTGATGAATGTGGGGAGCCTGGCACACCTGCTGTCTGCCCCACTTTCCTGCCCCCTGTGCCTGTGCTGTGCTCTGGGGCCCTGGGCACCCCTCCCCAGCTTAGCCTCCCCAGAGCACAGCCCTGGGAGGAGGGCCCGGAGCAGAGTGCCGCGGTCGCTCACTGAGGCCGGGCCCTGGGCCCTGCTGTTCCCACTCCTCACTGCCTGAGGGAGGAGGGGGTCTGGGGCTACACTCACGAGGCTCGCCTTCATTCCACACACGCTCAGGCTGACCAGAGTGGAAATGCCATCTGGGCACCTCAGTCTAACTCAGAGCAGCCAGACAGGCTCCTTCCCAAGGCTTAGGATTCCCAGGGGTACTGTTTCTAAAGCCTGCATGCCCACATCACCTTGAGTCCCCCTGGGGGTGACCAATCCCTGTGACCGCTTTACTGGCCAGGTTCTGGAGCTTAGTGGACTGAGGGAGTGTTGGGAAGGGGCAGTAGGGCTCTTTAGTGGGCCAGGTTGGGAGTGGAAGCTGTCTGTTCTCTTGGGTGTCCTAGGACAGCATGTCTAGGTGTGGGACAACGGGTACCAGGGTGGCATGAAGCTGGGAAGCCAGAGAAGGGCCAGGGTGACCAGAGTTACAAAAGCCCCCATCCCTACACACCTACCCCCATTAAAGAGCTGGAAAAACCAAGGCCAGAGAGAAGGGCCCTTCCCTAAGTCAGCTGGTGGCTCCATGTGAGCTCTGGCCGGAGCCCTTCCTGCTGGTTGCCTTTTCTGAGACCACTTCTTGTCTCAGCCCTTCCCTGTCCCTGTGAGGCAGTCCTAACCTATCTCTCCATAGGCCTTTGTAGCTCCCAGGCCCGACCTTGGCACGGGTCCCCTGACTCTGTTCTGGTCACTCGTCCCAGCTTGCCGCCTTGCACCTTCCCCAGCTACAGGGAGAGAGAAACAGTCACTGAGCAAAGGAGAATAGAGGAAATGGGTACCAGAGCACCTGGGCCTGGTAAGTGGACCCTAAGGGGCAGCCAAGAGTGCTGTTTGCCCA